ACAGAAATATATGAAGGAACCTCAGAAATACAAAAATTGGTTATAGCTGGAAATCTTATAAAAGAATATAATTTCAGTTAAATTGTAATTTGTACGCACAAGCTATATATTTTTATATATTTTTTATATGGCATACTTTGATATATAAGAAAAGAAACAATACATGTTCCACATACCATGCCTTCTACTTTTATTCGCTTTTGACTATGTAAATATTTGACACAAATATACATGCATATATGTATGTGTACTAATGCACAGCATACATTTACACATATATACTGGTATTTTACTGGTTAACTCTTGGCAACATTATAGAAATTTCTATTAACGATTTCTATTCTGCTTGCCGTAAGGAACACCTAATGCTTACCTACATATTAAGTAATGGATGTTATAATACAGGTAGTACATATTACGCACAGTATAGTTCAATTCCACAAAAATAATCTATTATATTAGTGGAATTCAATGGAGAAACTATAGGTTTGAAACATACAGTGAAAGTTTCAATAGAGCAGCATAAACCTCATTTCTTGGCAATCAATATTATAGCGAAAGGTAAATTAATTATTTGTTTATTCAACTATTAGCGCATATAATATTTATAACAATTTTATGTATACCGATTTTTATTATAGATGTAGATATATATATATATATACATATATATATATATATATGCACACACAACTGTTCCTTCTTTAAACTATTATTGTAAATAAACTCAAATTTCAAAGTCTATCTTACACATTAGCCTAAGTTTGAAACTGTATATTTAGTTTGTGCAAATGACACCTCATACTATTTTCCTTACTTAATTGCTGCAGTTTTCATCAATACTTTCACTATGCACAAACTATTCTCAGAGTGCGCATATAGAACTTGTTTTGAAGAAATTTATATAATTTTATAGAGATCCATTGGAATGCAAAAGAAACATTTTAATTTGAATTTCATTATTTGTTTTGCTTATTATTTGTTTTGCTTATATACAATAGAGAATTTTTTTCCTTTCCTCTCTCTCTCTCTTTTTTCTCTCTCTCCCTCCCTCTCTCTCTCTCTCTCTCTCTCTCTCTCTCTCTCTCTCTCTCTCTCTCTCTCTCTCTTCTCTCTCTCTCTCTCTCTCTCTCTCTGTCATAAATATTGAAACGGAGAGTAATAACCTCTCGATGTGTGTCATATTAATATTTTCAATTTCTTATTGTTTTGCATAAAATATATACATCCCACAATTCCATACAATGAATTACTTATGTCAGTTTATTGTATTCAAATTTGTTTCAGAAATCTATCAATTTGGTCCTAAATAAAGAATGTGGGACAACTTTGCTTTTCAATGGAAAGCATAATGCACGAGCCTCACTTTTTGTAACCTACCATATCTATTATAACATTGGTATACATTCTGAGAAATATATTATTAGTGAAATTCGTATTGTGATTCTAACAAAATAGATTTCTTTAATTTCCTGATTATAATACATTGTGCAGGCCTTGAGGAATGCTGGAGAACATCATCACAATATGCCAGTAAGCTTGAGAATACAAGAGCAAAAGTCTATCTCATCTACCCAATTTAATTATATAAATACATAAATCATATTCACCGTGATAAGATCTAAATCATTATCTTTTTTTTCTTTTTTTATTTCTTTTTTTATCCCTTTTAAACATCTGCCTATAAATTAAATTCACATCTAATCACATTTACCCTTGTATGTACTTTGTATCAAGCAATTTCAATTGCTTGTTGACAAATTTCATTATATATTATTATCGAACTACTAAATTATTAATCATTACTGTTTTTTATCTATATTGGTTTTAAACAAACCAAATTCTCTTTTTTTCACAGTTTATGCATTACTTAAATAGGACCGATTTATATCAGTTCTCCATGTTAACAGTTATATTCTAATGACAATCTTTGACTGTAGGTACATTTATCTAAAATGGTTGTAAATGTAAATAAATTAAAATTGTAAGTAATTGTAATAGACACTAAATCTAGACATATAAGTTCTGGAAAATGTCCCGATCCTGCAGGATCGCCTATGGCAGGGTTTGTCTGGGTATACATCCATAGGTATGCGCATGTATCTATGTATGACATGTATAAGGAAATTGATTTAAACCATTTATGACAGAGGCATTTGAAGCCTCAATCATCAGCTTGCATTCCACGTACTTCACCTTGATGTCTTTGCTGTAAAAAAAAAAAAATCATTGATATAATGTGGGTATTCATTATTATGCGATTTACAAAAGAGACAACTCTTTACCCTGTCTAATTCTTCTTTAGTATTATCTTCAATAGCTCTGATATCCTCCATTGTCAATCCATACCAACGGTCTATCCAGCAGAAAACTTGTCTATGAAAATTTGTGAATAGACGTCTCTCTGCCTTTTGAATAAAACTTTCAACGCGTGTTTGCAACCCAAACCACTTAAATTCACAAGTAACTAGCTTATAACATGTCATCACAGGTTGAATATTGTTCATCCAATCTTTGCCTACAAGAGGACCTCGTCCTGTTTTCTGTGATTTAAACTTTGTTGGATCTTCATCTTCTTTATAATCAGCAGTTGCAATAGAATCATTTGCAATATCTATATGTATTACTTCTCTTATTTTAAGCTTATCAGAAGGTAATTCATGAACCTGCCAATTATATATATATATATTTATATATATATATATATATATATATATAAACAGTAAATAATGCATAAAGAATATTACTATTGTGTGATCATAGTACTTAGTACTTACATTATGCTGATTTCCACAGTCTCCAATATGAAAAGATTCTATCATAATTATAAAGTTATCCTTCATATAACCCGGATTCTGCGAAAGAAATTGATATAAAGTAAAATAAAATTTCCGTAAAATAAAAAAGTATTTTCTTATATCACACACACACACACACAAATACATATAGATGTATATAAATATATATATTTACAGTTATAATAGTTTTGCAATATGGATATGCATTCCAAGCTTCTTCATGAATTTCCAAAGAATTCTTTGGAAGTAAGATACGAATAAAAGCAGGCACTTTACTGGCTAAATGATAAATCTTATATGTATATTGACCCGCAGAATATTTTCCACCGAGAAGAGGATAATCCTTAAAGGGTTCATTTTTTAGAACCTCTATACCTTCTCCTCCGCCCGTATTATTTTTACTTGCTTCTGCCACGGAATACAATTGAGCAACTTGGTACTGTTGAAAATGAAAAAAGTTAAAATAATATTAATATAAATTTTCATTATTACAATGGATAGAAAAATCAATAAAACCTAGAAATTAAATAAAGTTGATAGAAGTTATGTAAAATTTAATTATTGTTTAAAATTAGATTATGCAATTGAAAGAATTTTTATTAAAGCAATGATGTATCTTTTTTTCGTTTTCTTTTTCTTTTTGTCCCCTACTAGAACTCTATCCTTTCAACTACATATTATTAATTAATTATAGTTTTCTTAATAGACGGACCAAACTACATAATTAAATTTAACAAATAAAATATGCCAGTAATGTTTAAGAGATAATAATTAGATGAATTGCAACTGAAGATAACTGCAGAGTATTATTATAGAAGAACATCTCAATTATAATTACAGCTTATAGTGATTTAAATACATACTTCTTCCACGGTCAAAGGTAGAGTGACACGGCTGAAACAAAACCGTAATAAATTGTGTTATTAGTATGTTAAAAAGTGGGAAAATAACAAAATTTAAGGAATTGGCCTTGAGACCAAAGATCTTTCTTCATCGAATAGAAGCATATACATAAGTGCAAATACGTACGATTAAGTAGAAAATTTTGTCCGAACAGCAAGTCCGTAACAGATCAATATTATCAGAAATTTTGAATATGAGATTAGATAATAAAACTAAGATATTTATCTCTTTTCATAGAAAAGTTTCCCTTAAGAGGCCGTAAAGGGTGAAGATGTCTCTTCTCCCCTCCATTATCACACACCGTTAAAGATCGGTAACCATATCCGAAACTTTAGTTTCAAATTTAGGCTTTACAATTACACATCGCGCTCATATATAAATTCTAATGCAATAGAATAAAAAATGGTCGACTTACAATTCCTTGATGAGCATCTTAATTAGTTGTGCATGTGGTACGTATTAATTTCGTTTAATAGAAATCCACTACCCTTACTTCGGTAAAATCACTCGCGTTATCTTACCACTCGTAATCATAGACATGCACGACAAGAGCAGACTTCCCAAGCAACTGACACACTCCACCACTCTACGAACTGTACGATGCCACGGCCACGGGAACCAGGGAGCACATATACTTGCGCACACGTGTACATCAATTTCCCCTACCACTTATTATCCTTACTTCCTCTCTCTTTATATGTCTCTCTTTTTTCCTCTTTTGCCTATGACGTCATTCTAGCCCACATACGAAAACCGCATGCGTGAATACGAATACTATATATGGACACATTACTTTTTATTATTTTTCTATTAGATACATTTCAAAAATCAAGAAGTAACTTAATATATGGTCTGCAAGTTAATCGTATGAAATATCAGTAAATCAACGAGTCGCGTATTAAATGCGTTAGGATTTCACATTTAAGGATACTAACCAATCGAACTATTTGTATTCTGCGTCATATCCGTTTAAACTCTGTTATCTCTCTCTCTCTCTCTCTCTCTCTCTCTCTATCTCCCCCCTCTCTCACCCGCGCTCACTCTCTCTCCCTCGCCCCTATTTATCTATCTATCCATCTACCTTTCTCTTTCTCTTTTCAGTGTCTATCAGAAACTTACATATCATGCAGTAGCGCGAATAGTTCGTGATTTTTTTGCAAAAGTTGATTAAAATGAGTGCCAATCAAAGGCCACCTTTAGACGATACGTTTACCGATTGGTACATTTCAAATGACACCGTTGATTATAACTAGTTTCCAAGAATACTTTTATTTCATGTAAACTGCAACATCTATTAGTGATTTTCATTTTTACATACATGTGTCAAGGAACTATTTAAAGAGTTATCTGATTATTTTAAAAATGACAGACATCTTATACAAAAAGTTACTAATTCTAGACATTTTGGTATGATGATAATCGTATAGCTGTTCAAAGTTGTCCAATTAACAAGTTGGTTGAATAATGATAAACAGAGGCACAGGCATTTCTGAATAACGTGCGTTCAAAGACAAGCAAGCATCTTCAATGCTGCACCCAGCTACATCTCCGCGTATTTGTAAGTGGCCGTTAAGAAAAAAAAAAAAGGAAAGCAACCAAAAATGAAGAATTATGATTTATTCTTAAGCTTCGCAAAATTGCTATCATTTTCGTGATTGTCGCGCATAAAATAATACTTTCTCATTGGTATGTATTATAAAATTTTTACAGTGTATTGTAATCGAAAAGTGCGATTGATCGATGCACTGTGCGCAACGATGTGCGACAATATTCGTAATGAAAGCAGCAGTTGAGTGACAGTACGTTAAGGAAACGCGAGTAAGATCATATTGTTTCTATTTCCTTGTTATATAAATTCGATGGCAATTGAAAAAATATAAAGAGATATCTGAAACTGCTTTGAATAATTCTTGAACGACGACATCCGGTTCGTAAACTTTGCATACTTTTCGGCACGGTATAGTGTGCAGTGCCATTCCGATGAAGACAGAACGGACGAAGTGAAGGAATTTTTGTCAATACGAGGGAGACGAATCATGGTAAGATTTAAAAGAGAGACTGTGCAAACTGAGAGGACGGATGCACATACAAGCCGGAAAAATTAAAAGGGCCAAAATAAACACACATTTTATTAAATAATAATACAAAATGGATGAGTGTATGCTAAATGATTTATTGGAATGTTCAGTGTGCTTAGAACGATTGGATACTTCTAGTAAAGTATTGCCTTGTCAGCACACTTTTTGTAAAAAATGTTTAGAAGAAATTGTGAGTACGCACAGAGAACTACGATGCCCTGAGTGCAGAGTACTGGTCGATGTTAAAGTCGATGACTTGCCACCAAATGTATTACTTATGCGTATTCTGGAAGGAATGCGCAATGCTGCACCTAAGAATGTAAAAACTGTTTCTCGCAATAATCCAGGCCCACAGCGGCTATTTGGTGGTCATCAAGTTGCTCCAGCTCCTATTGTAACCACGAATATTACATCTGTTACGCACACTACCGAAGTAGTACGTCATGCTAATGCAGCAGCTAAGCAGGTACACTTACACAATCAGGCATATGGCCGGGCCATATATGATTATGTGTCTAAAGTACCTGGGTAAATATTATAAAATTTATGATAAAATAAGATTTCTACATTGTATCGTCCCATACAGTTTACTGATATATTTTTCCTTTTAGTGATTTAAGTTTTAAGAAAGGTGACATTGTTGTTCTTCGTAAAAAAAT